TAGTAGGCTATCACAGAAACATACAATATGTCAAGTTGGAAGGGGCCTATAACACCGCGCCACACTCCTTCTCTTTCCATGTCATTTCAGTAAGAGCCAGTTGACAAGTGAATAATACCATAAGTAATAGAAAGATGTACAGTGAGTTGCTGTTTAGGATGGGTAAAAGAGGTGAAATCACTATTTCCTGCATTTTTGTACAAGACATGAGTTTTGCCCTCATCCACCATCCTGGGATTTCTGCCTCAGAGAGCAAATCAGACAAGGGATTCAGAGTCTGTATGTCTGTCATTATCCTGTCACCATGCAGTCAGGTAGTTATGGAGGCAAGTGCTTAGACATGTGCCTGTAATTTTTTATATCCATGACTTTTTTTAGATGTTCAGAATACTAGAGAGAGCAGGAATAAACTAGACCACAACTCTGCATCAAGCAAGAGCCTTGCCTTCTCCGTATAACAATTGAATATTTGAATAATATATAGAAATTATTAATTATTTGTGTAGTAGAGCTACCAGATTTTCCTTCATTAAAGGTCTGTACTGCAGCACATCATGATTCTTCCGTTGCACTGGTAAAGAATGTCTTCCGTTTCATATTTTCTCATTGATGGCTTCCAGAGTTAAAGTCTACTACCTAGCTGACAACAGACATTTCCCCTGTCCTGCCATTTCTTCTCACTCAGGTTGCAGAGATTCTAGTTATTCCTTCTCCTGAGAGCTCATGAGCTGATTCATGGTTCCTTGGTCACTTGTTTTTCTGTTTTGTTTTGCTGATTGGGTTTGGGATTTTTTTTGGTGGGGTAAGAGGGGTGATATGGGGAGGAGCAGGTTATCCACATAGTCTCATCTTTCAAGTTTTGCTTCTTGGACTTTCTGAACTTTTTATTTTTTTAGTTTGATACTTTTCCTAGTTTTGACTATTTTAGGTATTAATCGGAATGTCTTCCATCATTTAACTTACAGCAGTCCTTCGAAATGTGAGAAAAATTGTCATACTCTCTATAAATGTCACAATTCATTTAATCCATCACATGCATTTTGAAACTGTTTTCCAGCTCATATTCACATTCTCTACCTTACTTGTTGGACACTCCATGATTTGTCTTAGTTCTAGCATATACTATTAGTTTAAATTAGAGCTGCTGTAAGAAATTCATCAACAGACTGATGTCTAATGAAAAAAGCTTCCTCACATTCTTGTATAATATGATTAGAGCTGCTCTTTTCTTTTCTGAGCTAGTGAAAAAATGAAGACCAATGGAGGGAAGAAGGAAGGGAAGGTGGGGAGAAAATAAGTTAGAAATAAGCTAGAATCATAGTAAACAAGCTTGGAAAGACAAGCTAAAACAGTATGAAATTCAGTGAATAAGAACAGATGCAATTACAGATTTAGGATGTAATTGCCTGTAATTGCTCAGTTAAATTGTGAAGTAGATAAAAATATATTAGTTACACAGATAAAAACACACATCTCAACTATAAATTCACTTTATATGAGGACTTTTTTCAATGATTTCAATGCACTGGCACAAAAAATCTTCACAGAAAATAGTTGATCAGCTGGTAACTCTGTCATCCATTCTCCGTCATTCTGGTTGGGAAAGAGTTCTTCTATGGATCCCTACTGTTGCATTTAGAAATGTAGCAGTCCTTGACTCAGTAAATCTATGGATATCTAATTTTCTCATTGCTTCTCTAAAGCTACCATGCTACAAATCTGGCCAGTGCTGGACTATTCCCTAGGGGTTAGTACACACGATACACAAACTCTCAGATTTCTCACAGACACTTTATTTCATTGTAAGCACAGCTCTATCTTCATCCCTCATTCTGGAATGAAAACAAATCATGTACTGGCACATTTCCCAGAAGGGTTCTAGAAGTATATCCAGCTTTCACAAAAACCGTCTCTACTACACCCATGATTGTATGCCGAGTGCTGCACAGATCTGGAAAACAATGACTTCTGAACCTTCCAACAAATTTGTTTATGCAAGCTATAAGCAAAATCAGGGTGGAAAGTTGATGCAAAAGTAAAATAGCACAGAAATCTTGTTTCCTTTTCATGCAGTGTTGCAAAACTTCTCCATAGCTCAGTTAACAGTAGCGACAGGGTGAAGTCTAAGCTAAATGTCTCTGCAGTCGGAGCACTTACAGCCGTGGGCCAAAGTTCACCTTTAGGCTTGCTGATATTTCAGACATTCCCACACTCTCCCATTGCATTTCACAAGCAGGAGACAATGCAGCAGAAGAAAAGGAGCTGAAGACCAAGCAACATAGGATCAGCCAGTCCCTCAGTGCTCTGCTGAAGTAGATCCAGTGCCTAACCCTCTCCTTCTACACCTGTTTATCATAGTATAATCTCCTTCCCATTTCAGACTCATCGAAATCTCCCTGCAAAAAAGGGACTATTCTTCAGCCATCTTGACAAGACTTCTGTCTTGATTAGTCCAGTTTTATTCTAAAAATGTCTAAGGCTAGTTAGCTCCATTTTGCAGACTGTTTAAATACTAGAGGTTGAAGCAGCAATCTGAAGTTTCATGTCTGTGAGAATGAAAGACTGTGATATTAAGATGAAAGAGTTAACACCATGAAACTGATGTTGATGGTAGATTTCAACAAGTGCAGAATCATAAGAGACAAGTCTTCTTACAGTCACTATAAAGAATTTGCCTTCCCAGTAATATAGGCAACTGTCTCAGGCACAGATATTCAAAATTAAGTAACTCAAAATCTTCCTTCAGATTGTTTGTTCCAAGATCAAAATGGAGGCTAAGAATAATTCTTCCCTCTTTGGATAATTAAATATATTTTAGCATGCAGATTCTAACTAACAGGCCTTTTAACAGACAAAATGCTTGGATCAAGCAGACCCCTGGAATTGAGACAAAAACGGACTTATGCTGCTGTAGGAAGGAGATCAGCAGGCTGTCCATCTCTGAAGGTAAGTCATAAAAGAAGCCAGGAGGCCTCCGGGCACAGAAGAAAATAACCACATAAAACAACTACATACTCCTTCAGGTAGATGAACCACATGAAAAAGTATGGGAAGTTCTTATTTTACTGCATATGATTGTCTTTCTGACGGGCAGGTGATATGTGTGCACACGTTTCTCAAGGGAAAGGATTTTTCCTGAACTATAGGACCAGAAGAGCTCTGTGGAAACAGGGGAATTCAGTGGCTTCTGTGTAGAGTCCTACCTCCAGCTTAGCAGCTCCAGTTTTGTTGTAAAAGATGAAAATGGAGAGGTTTATCAATATAGCTTTCAGGCAAATTAAAACCCAGTGTCACTGTCAGGCAGTCATTTGTGAGACAGGTACTGAAATAGGTACAAGCCCTATAATAGGCCCACAGTCTGTGAACCTGTGAGCATTGTTCAAGAAAGGTTTTAGAATAGCACTACCAAAAACTCTAAGATACACAAGTGTCTTTACCACCTGCCTCAGAAATTCAGCCTCCTCTACTGTTTTCTCCAAAAGTTTATTTGCACTCTTCTTTCAAATTATTTCCAAAATACTATTATGCAAATCTCACTTTTCTAAACAGTACAGTCAGTAAAAAAATGTCAACTTACAAACTATGATACATGGACAACCTGCATTCCAGAATACTTACCAATATACACCAGGTACCATCTGAAACATAAAACAAAAGCCTAAAGGTCGAGGTGAAGCCTCTTGTACTATTGTATTTGGTTTGCAATAGTCACTTCATAAATAAAAGAGGACTTTTATCCAATAAAGATACTTAGAAAAATAGATCATATTTCTAAGACTCCCCTGAACACCACATAAAAAATTATTTAGCTCTAAGGAAAAAAATAAATCCCACTTATCACATACCATTCTATCCTTGAACTTGAATACAAAGTCATTAAACACAGGCTCTGTTGGAAGAAAATGCTGGACAGAAATCTTCCCACAACCACATTCCTGAGACTTTGAGCAACTTCTCAGCCTCATGAAATCAACCAACAGAAGTAAATTCTCCATAATGCTAAGAAAGTTGAATACAGACTGCACATAGGCAGCAAAAGTGAGGTTCGCTAACTTGTCTGTCACTGTGAATACTTCCTAAAACAGAACCAGGAGCAGCTCTGGCTGCTATGCCTGTACTTGGACAAATGTATGATATTTCACAAAGTGCACCAGATGTTATTAATGCATATAGGTAATTCATACTAGGCAACTATTAGGCACCAGCATGAACTTATATATCCAGGCTGTGCATGACAGGAATATCCAGCTGTTGGTGAAAAGCATTTCCCAGAAAACAATCATTCCACCTCCATCCTTGTGGAGATGTTTTCCATCTCCACAAAGGAAATATAACAAGACAAACCTCAGAACTCTCTTTATAGCATATTATGATGTCCCACCCCAGCATTGACTTCTCCATATTCCCTAAACTATACACTGTGTGTATCTTTCCCTTAAGTGATCAGTATTGTACTGGGTTGACCCTGGCTGGATGCCAGATACCCACTAAAGCCACTCTCTCACTCCCCTCTGCAATTGGACAGAGGAGAGGAAAAAAAAACAGCAAAGGATTCGTGAGCTGAGATAAGAGCTGGGAGAGGTCACTTATTGATCACCCTTATGGGCAAAAACAGACTAAAAGTGGGGATATTATTTGAATTTGTTACTAACAGGATCAGAGCAAAAGAGTGAGAAGTAAAATAATCTTAAAAACACCTTCCCCCCAACCCCTTCTTCCTTCCATGTTCTCCCTCCTCCCTCCCCCCCATGGTGCAGGGGTGACAGGGAATAGGGGTTACAGTCAGTTGTTGTTTCTGCCACTGCTCAGAGAGAGGAGTCCTTCCCCTGCTCCCGTGGGGTCCCTCCCACAAGAGATAGTCCCTGATGGACCTGTCCAGCATGAGTCCATCTCACAGGCAACAGTTCTTCATGAAACTGCTGTCCCGTGGGTCACTCCTCCATGTCCTTCACAAATGAGCTTTACCAGCCTGGGTCCCCCACAGGGGCCACAAGTCCTACCTGGGAGAAACCTGCTCCATTGTGGGCTCCTCTTGACATAGGCCACAGATCTCTGGCAGGACCCTGCTCCATCTTGGGCCTTCCACAAGGTCAGAGCCTCCTTCAGATATCCACCTGTTCCAACATGGGCTTCTCCATGGGCTGCAGGTGGGTCTCTGCACTCCGATGGTCCTCCATGGGCTGCAGGGGCACAGCTGCTCCACCATGGTCTGCACCACAGGCTCAGGAGCCTCAGCTCTGGTGCCTGGAGCACCTCCTCCCTTCTCCTGCACTGACCTTGGTGTCTACCTTGTTGTTCCCATGTTCTTACTCTGCTCTTCCCTGGTTGAAATTTTTCACTGCGCAACAACTTTTCATTCTTAAATATGTTAACACAAAGGCATTACTGTCATTCATAATTGTCTCGGCCTTGGCCAGCGGCAGGAAGCCCATCCTGGAACCGGCTGGCATTGGTTCCACCAGACAGGGGAAGCTTCTAACAGCTTCTAACAGAAGCCACCCCTGTAGCCACCACCCCCCCCACACACAACCAAAACCCAGCCACAGAAACTCAGTACAAATTTCTATTAATCTCTCTCAGTTTGTCTTGTTCTTACTTTCCGTCTCTGTTTTTCTCTCTTTTCAGTTCTTTTCACCCTCCCAATATCCTCTCTGCTTCCTAGGTAACAAGATCTATTTTTATAGAGATGGTTTAACTGATATATAAGTAAATTAATGTTCTTAACATGTATTTTATTTTGAAAGATGCTACCTCTATTTTGAGACCTGGAAGACACCTTGGGCTCATGCCTAAGATTATTTTCTTCCTCAAGAATATTAGCATGTCTACTAAAGAACACTGCCTCCACCTACAAAGCCTGTCCTGCCTATGGATTTTTAGAAAATGGTGTCAAAAGCGTAAAATATTCTTATGATTATTTTTCCTAAATAGTTAAATTTCCTAAATAAATTTCCTAAATGCCTTTCATAATATACATTTTATGAAGTTATCATTTGTTCTTGCTTGTGCTGTGTGATGTGTTCATGACGGAGTAGCAAAGAGATGAGTAGTCAAGTTAGAAATTTTTGCTGATGGTATTAAGCTATTCAAGATAACAAAAATGGGAACTGATTATGAAGAAGAACTTGATACTGAGTAACTGGGCAATAAAACAGTAGATGAAATTCAATGTAGATAAATGAAAACATGTGCATTAGTAAAAACAACAGAGATTTTCTTTATGGAGTGCTGTGCTCTGATCTTATGTGACTGTGGGACCTGGATAGAGAAACATTATTCAATAGTTGTCAAGACATGAAATTAAATGTTAGGAATCATTAAGAAAGTAACAGACAACAAAATAGAAAGCATCATTATGTTGTGGCGTAAATCTATAGGCACCACCTTCTGAGATACTGTATGGGATTTATGCCTCTTCATAAAAAAGTGTATATAGAATTTGAAAGGAAAAAAAAGTGGTATGAACAGTTAAGGATTTGGAAGGGGTTCTGTATGAGGACTGATTAAATAGCCTCTTCTGGTTAAAGGTATGACAGAGATGAGAATGGTGTGGCTATAAAGTCACCTGTGACACGAAGAAGGTGAACAGTCAAAAGCTCACTCCATCTCCAGGGATTACGAATATGCCTTACAACACAAGCCAAAGGGAAGAGCTTCTCTTTGCACTCAATGCACAGATGAACTGTGAACCTTCTTCCTTGAAGAAACCACAGGTGAAAAAAATTGACATTGTCTCTGTAAAAAACTAACTGATGGTTAGTTTAGAAAAATCCACTGAGCGATATGGAAAACAAAAATTACCTCTGTTCCAGTAAGTCTCAGAGATGCTGCAGGCTGAGAGTCAAGAGAACAATTTGGAGAAGCCTGTTGACAGAAACAGAATATTGATCTAAATGAACCTTCTATGTGAATCCATGCAGACACTCAACAGCTTTTTCTGGGGCTGAAGTGACAAAAAGTTCCTAAGGAATGTCCCAGCTGTCCCACAGTTGATAGGAGTGGGATGACTTTATCAGTGCTAACTCAGAACAACTATTGTCTGGCCAAGGTGACCTTTTAAGAATCCAGTCTCATTTGATGGAAAATGATCCAAATTTGCCAGAATGATCATATTTCACTGGTAAAGCCTTTAAACAGATAGCCTTTGGGTTGGCAGTTTTATACTGCCTGATTCTAACTTTCCAGCAGTCTAAATCTCTGAGGAGTTTTAGCCTAAAAAGTTTTTGCAAAAGGGATAATAGAGTAGTGCCTGCCTTTTAGCAAGATACATATGCACAAACCAGATGAACCATGTTTAAGGAGTTTCAACAAACCATCACTAAACTAGGCATGCCTAACATCTTTAAAATTTATGCATGAGCTACAGGGAGGCAATGTCAGCTTGCTTTTCAGAATGTTTGCCATGTTTTAAAAAGACAAAACGTCCCATGTGCATTTTAATTGATTAAATAGTCCATAAAGGTTTCAAATTAGAATTCTCAACTTGCATTAATTCTTCAAATTATTAATGCTATTCATGGGCTCAAAAATGTTATTCTACCAAAAAAATCCCCATACTTATGAGCTCATCTAAATTAAAACACACTGTTTGCATTGTTCATGTAGGGAACTTAATTTTATTTCAGTGGGATTATTCATTACAGGAAAGATTATAAGTGAGTACAATCATTGGACTCTAACTGCAATTACTGTTCCCCAGTCTGAGCTGATTCTTTTCCACCTGCTTACCTACTCATGCTTTTTTAATATTTATTATGATATCTGAGAACCTTCTTCTTTGTTACTTGTTATTACCATGGGATATTTGATGAAAGATATTTTCATTCTTTGTTGGCTTCTGAAAACTTTAAGCATCCTGGTAGCGCACATTCAGGGTATCAAGGCTGGAGTTATTTTCATGTCCTTTAGGGTCACTAGAAGTGCACTCAAAAAGTCTCTTTCTCTTAGCTGTCTCTCCTTGTCTATAGCTGAATAGCATAATTTTCCCAGTCCTGAAATAGACTCTAACTACAGCACCGGTGCTTCTATACATGTATATATACACGTATGCACACATGGACATATCTCTGTGGTTGCCCACTATTCACCCTAAGCAAACTATAACAAATATAGGCACCTCTGTGTCTACTCTTCAGACGTCTTTGCTTAACACAACAATCAGGCATTCTTCTTGGAGCTAAACATTGTGGATGCTAGAGCAAAGTACTAGGATATAAAGAACTTTGAAAGGACCACTAATTTATGTCATCTAAATATTCATCAGCCTGTGACCATCATTTAAGCAACCCTCCTTTCTTGAGGTGTCCTACAACATCCTGTCTCCACCTCTTTTCTCCTTAAATTATTCTTCACTCTCTCTGAATACAGTCATTCTCAAATTTCTTTTAACTTCTTTTGAGGGTTGTGTGTTGCATTTTAGGGTTTTTTTTAAATTTGTGTAAGGAGGGTTTGCACCATCTGTGGCACAGAAGGGAGGATGTCAGTGAGAAGCCAGTCAAACATAGAAAACTATTTGCATGTTAGAGAACAAAGATATGAATTCTGCAAAGTCACATATAGCTAGATTTTTTTCAGAGACCATCTCAATGATGGTCTCCAGTACTCCTTAGCCCAGGGAAAAATACAGCTCCTATGTGTTTCCATCCATCCTGGTTGCCCCCATTTAGGGATCAGGTTCTTGGTCAGTGTGCTCTGAATATGTTCATTAGCACTGAAGCAGCACGCTGAGAAGCTGAAAATCAGTCTCGAAAACTCATCTGTAATTCCACTTCAGCCTTTTCTTTTCAGTTCATGGCAGGGTTCACCTTTTATTTCTTGGCCTCTAATCAAAAACTAGCTAATTACCAAAGCAGCATGAAGCTTGGATGATTGATAGATAACATCCCATGAGCGAATAAAAAACTTCATTTTGCAAGGATAAAACAATAAAGATGTTTTAACAAGAAGTCAAACAGCAGGCTTCCAGAAGGGAGTGTTAAAAGGTTCCCAGATCATCACACTAGAATGGGTCTTTGTCATCTGGCTTCATGAGAAATGACAGCCTCAGCTAAGAGCATCTGATCGACTCTAACTCATGCATTCAGCATGTGAGGCAACTGATACTCTGAGATCACCTCAGGAGAAGGGGACTGGTAGCAGGTGCTTTTCAGAATTGCTTGAAAAAATACTTGTAAGTTTCCTGGATGCTGTTGGAGAAAAGAGACATGGAGCAGAATTAAGTGTTCAGTGTACTTCCTCTTTGTAACTACTTGGAAGTGGGTAAGAAATAAATTCAAACTGAGTTAACTAACACAGTCAAACAGAAAACACTCTCGTACTCAAACCTGCATGCAGAAATAAAGCATTGTAAAAATGAAGCATAAGAGTGAAGCATTATATCCATCAAGTACAGTTTTTTAAGTAGTATTTTAAGGCAATTATAATAATTCTAAAAAAATATTAGATCGAGTACCTTGGGACAGTTTTTATTTGTCTGGATAGCTGATTTTATCAGGAGTTTACACATGGTGATTTTATTATTGTTGTTCATCTCTGTAACAGTCAAATTAAACTGAATTTACTAATCCTACTAATTCAAGATGGCAAAATCATCTCAACTTACATGTTGCCACTCCATTCAAAATTACATTTACTGAACTACTATATTCCTCCCTAGTTATATGACAAAGAGTAAATTTCAAATAAATCAATAAATCAAAAATTAAATTCTACCCTTACAGTCACTTTATTAATCAAACATTCTACCCTTAAGTATCTGCTGTGCCATAGTGCTCGCAAAACTCTCTGGGATACAAACCTGTTTCTCTCAGTGATGTCAGGGTTTGAGAAAGAATGGCATTCAAAACAATGCTTTTGCAGCGTTCATTTTTAGGTGATCATTACAAAGATACGTGCTTTTATATCCTAATGCATTAGAAGCATGAAAATCATTTTCCACTAAGTCCATTCTATAGTTGGAAAGTAAACAAACATGAGCAAGGTATGCATGCCCTTTCTATTTGGTACTAGCCAAGAGCTAGCCCATGTCCAGGTGCAATATTTCGAGTCGTATTGAGGGTAAGGAGGAATGTAGGAGAAGCTGTAATTTGTCTGATCCTGTTGAAGACAGACTGACTCATGTTGAGCACCACATTGAAGCATTAGTGCTTTGGAATGTTTATCATGTAACTACTGTGGTGCGTTACAC